CTCAGCGAATGGGGGAAGGACAGTCGGTTTTTCAATTTCAGTTTTGCAGGTTCTGCCTTGTTGTTCCTGCCATTGTAGGTACTCTTGTTTCTGTTGAGAAAGTAGCTGAACGATTTCAGAAGCACAGAGAGTGTGTTTGGTGGAGGATTCGGAGATCATCAGCCAGCCTCATTTACTCTTGCTCCTGAAAGCAGCAGTGGGCAGGCATTGCTCTAAACCCCTTGGCCACAAGGGCTGGTCCCAGCCCTGTGGGAGCTGCTTGGGGTCCAGAATTTCCCAGCCCCTTCTCAGTTTTTCTGCCAGGTGCCAGACAAGCTGGGGCGAGATGCTGGGAACTCTGACAGCCCTTGATCTGTGCTGATTTCCTTTCCTGGGCCTCCTGAAGCCTGTCCTAGCTTAAGGCCTCCTCATGGAGTTTCCTGGAGCTGGGAGCACACAGGCAGGAGGATCTCAAGGCCTGGGAGAGGGAAACATACACACCGGAGGCGCCAACTGGCACCTGCAGAGGGCAAGGCCGGCAGGTTTCAGGAGTCCCCGGAGAAATGGAGAAAGCCCAGACCGCTGGGCAGTGCGGCCACCCCGACAGTTACTAAAGCTGGCTCGATGAGGTTGGGGGGCGTTTCTCCTCTTCTCCCTCAGTGCTTTTTGTGAAAATGAAGCTTTCAGCCATGGAAGACGTGAAGCCCATGGACGCGCAGGCCCTGTCTGTGTCTGTACCAGTGACTTTCCACACTGCTGCTGTCTGAGCAGACGTGCAGACCTGGCAGGAGCCTTTACATACAGCACACCTGCCACCTCTGCCCCACCTGCGGATTGGGAGTGCCACACCCGTGTCCCTGGCTGGTGGTCCTCACAGCGCTCAGCAGCCCACAGGAAGCCGTGGGTGGCAGGGGAACATAGACGGCCTGTTGTCAGCCACTTAAAGGGAAAATCGGCTCAAAAATCAACAAAAAAATTTGATACATAATTTCATGAGAAAATCAAGTGATATGTGAGTCCCCCCATAGCGCTGAGAAGACCTGAGTGTTGCATCAGCAGCAGCTGCTAAATCCCTTCCTCCCTCCTTACGAAGGAAGCAACTTCAGAACACTCTTCTTACGTGCCTGACTTCAGAACACCAAGAGGCTTGCATGCTGCATTTGCCCAGGACCCAGCCCGCGCTGGCTGCTCTGAAGCTCAGCTCCTTCCTCCTGCAGGGCTGCGAACTGCCTGCTGCCCTCCAGTGTGGGCATGAGTGCCCGTGACCCAGTTCCCAAACACATGAACCAACGTCTGGGCCTCAGTGTGACTTAGACCAAGGGCTCAAGATGGCCCGGGGTGCATCAGCGTTGGGCACTGAATTCCAGTGCGTCGTCGAAAAAGTCGAGCATGGGCTCCGCTCGCCGCCGGAGAGAGGCGGCCGGCTCTTGCACGGTCTCCAGGCCAGGAGGACTCAGGCCAATCTGAGAACTCTCATTTATTTGAAGCTGCTGCTGCTTTGGCGCACAGAATGACACACATAAATATTGCAACACCAAGAGGTATGTAGCCACCTGTACTTCTCCCAGCAAACATCGGACTTCTGTGCCAGGAAGCAATGTGGCAGGTATTCCGTAGTTTCAAGCAAATTGGTCTCAGACGTAGATGAACAGATTTTCACAAGGAAAGGATGGAAGTGTGTCATGTGCTGGGCCTGAGCCTGCCGGGGGCTGCGAGTTCATTGTTGCCGGCTAAGGATGGCAGCCACCTCCCTTCCTCCCCGCTCCCTTCTCCTCTTCCCCTTTCTCCTCCAGGAAGGCTCCCCAGAAACTCCACTCCCTGAGCAGGTCCTCCGGCCTGGCATGGACTTCCGTCACGCAGGTTCTGACCCCCAGGCTGCAGTGGAGCCACCGTGGCCTTCGGGTTTCAGTGCTCAGAAAGACAGTGCCACGTGTGCGCCCTACCTCTGCAGAAGCCCTGCAAGTGGAGAACCTTTGGCCCATGGCAGTGGGGGATGGGGGATGGGGCAGTCATGCTCCCTTCAGGGTCAGAGTCCAGCTCCTCCGCCTTACAGGCAGCGTCTTCTGTGAGCTGTGTAACCTCTCCATGCCTTGATCGAATGGGGGCCCTCAAAGAGAGAGTCCACATGAAATCCCTGGGCCCCGGGAATGTGATCTTATTTGGAAAAGGCTCTTTGCAGATACGATTAAGTTAAGGAGCTCAGGATGAGATCATGCTGGATTATCCCAGGGGAGTCCTAAACCCAATGACAAAAGCCTTGCTAATAGACAGAAAAGGGCCAGGTACAGTGGCTCACGAGTGTGATCCTAATACCGTGGGATGCCAAGGCAGGAGGATCGCTTAAAGCCAGGAGATGACACCAGCCTGGGCAACTTAGCAAGACCTTGTCTGTTTAAAAAAAAAAAAAAAAAAATTGAAGATTAGCCAGGCAGGTGGCACACACGTGTAGTCGCAGCCACTCAGGAGGCTGAAGGTGGAGGAGGGTCACTTGAGCCCAGGAGGTCAAGGCTGCGGTGAGATATGATCACACCACTGACCCCAGCCTGCGTGACAGAGCAAGACCCTATCTCCAAAAAAAGAGAGAAAAGAAGACACAGACACAGTGGAGAAAGCCATGCAGAAACAGAGGCCGAGATGGGAGCGACGCAGCCGCCAGCTGGAGTCAGCAGCAACTGGAGGGAAAGGAGGTGTCTCCCTGGTGCCTGCGGAGGAGTCTGGCCCCGCCAACACCTTGATTGCAAACTTCTGGCCTCCAGAGCTGAAGGAGAAGACGTTGCTGCTGCGTTAACCCCCCCGGGGGGCGGAATCTGTCCCAGCAGCAGCCCCAGGAGCTCCTGCAGCCACCTCACCTGTGGAACAGGGACAGCAGCGGCCACCCTCAGGAGGCTGTGCCCAGGTCGCTGAAGGCGGCTCCTTGGCTTCCTGGCACATGCTGAGCGCTCAGGTGGTGGGGGTGGCTTCAGGTCACATTTCACATCAGGCAAGCCCAGGCTCCAGTCCCTGCTTTCTAGCTGTGGGTCCCTCAGGGATGTATTTGCTCCCAAAAGCCACAGCTGCCTGACCTAGGAAAGGCGGGCGGGTGTCCATTCTGCAGGGTCTTCTTTGGCTTTTAATGGAAAGTTCTTTCTCTTGCCCTTGCAACGTGCCTGTCATTTCGCATGACAGAGGTAACGCCCTGGCCGCTGACTTCAGCAGCCTAGCCTTCCCTGAAGGGTGGGGAATTTGGGTGGAAAGCTGTTGATACTGGAGGTTTGTAGGATTGTGGTATACACCCGGCATGGGTTTGTAACATCACAACTGGGTCTTTGACAAACCTGTAACTGCGGTTACAGCTCAAGGTGGTGACCCTGCAAGACTCTGCCCTATGCCATGGACACTCAAGGGGCTCTGACAACAAATGCCAGGGGCATTTATGAGCCACATTTTTTAAAAGCAGCAGCAAATAAGCACTCCCAAAGCCCATGTCCCCCACTGGCTGGGCCTGCCTCTGATGTCCACGACAGCATCACAGCTAAACTCGGTCACTGGGGCCATGTCTTTGCTTAGAAACAGCAAAGCACATTTTTAACACTAATGACGTCAAAATGAATCTTAAAGCCACTGTAAGTAAGGCAGTGTCAGGCCGATGCAACAGCAGACATAAGTAGATCAGTGGAGCCAGATGGCCCATCCAGAAACAGCCGTGGGTATACGGACTCCCAGGATATCATCATATGGCCTTTGGGTTTGGTGGGGAAAGAAGTCGTTTAATACATGGTGTCAGGACAACCAGCCAAGCTATTTGGAAAATAGCACAGTTCCAGAAACCTTAGGGTTCTAAACATTGGTTAAATTGTGTTTTAGTTGTTATTGTTTCAGATGAAAAGATGAGAAACATGCATCTGTTTCTGCATTTGCAGGAAGCATCTGAGGATACGACAAGAACTCAGAAGCCGTAAAGGAAAAGATTGACTTGTCTAACCTCATGAGCCTATTGGAAACAGAAGACAAACGGTACACTAGGAGAAAGCGTTGGCAACATGTAAGACAGAAAGATTGTGTCCATAATATATAAAAAGCTTCCGCAAATCAATAAGGAAAACGCAAACTACCCAGAGTACAGATGAGCAAGGAATATAGACAGGTGCTTGTTTGTAGGTTAAAAGGAAACATAAGCAGCAGTTGGAAGCCTCTAGAAAGAACAGTAGAAGGACCCACTGAGCTTGACAGTGATCACCTGGAGTGACCTCCAAGAGACCTCCCCCCTCACAGGGGATTGTCGCATAACAAATTAAAGCAGGATATAGCATTTTGTTGTGATCTGGGTGAAAAATGCAAATGATATGTAATTCTTTGTCCACGGGGTAGAGAAGGGACAGGCGTCCGCTGTTGGTCATCGTGTTGGTGTGTTTTTGGAGGCAAGTGAGGCAGTGTTTTTATTAAAATGGTAAATGCCTATGCTGTTTGACCAAACAATTCCACTTTTAGTAATCCATTCTACAGAGCTATTTCCGTGAGCATGTAAGGCTGTAGCTACAGGGATACACATGGCGCCGTCGCTAGTGACAGCAACAGATGGGGAACAGCATAAATGTCCATGGGTGTGGGGTTGGCTGTTTACATCCCAGTAAATACGTCTGTGCGACACAGACCATTCTGCTCTTAAACATGGTAGAGGAGACCTGTGTTCACTGACACAGGAAGGTAGTCATGACTCATGGCTGAGTGAGAAAGGCATATATGAAAACATCTGGTAAGAACAGTGTCGTTTTTTATAAAACAAAGTATTTTAATTGTTTGTACAGATATAAAATTGTAGAAGAGAGATCATCAAATTCTTTGCAGGAACACATCTTGGTGGAAAGAGTTGAGGAGAATTGCTTTGGTGTGCGGGCCTGTGTGTGTGTGTGAGTTGGGGAGAATTGCTTTGATTGTGTGTCTGTGTGAGTGTGGTGTTGCTTTTCAGCATCATTCAACTCTTATAAAAATGTCTATTTATTTTATAATGAAGAAATAGTTATCACTTTGAAAATATAATCCATGATTCTGTTTTAAAACCATATATATATATATGTCCATGTTGTAACATTTTTTAAAAAGACCGTCTGCAGAGCAAGATGCGACAGTGATAATCTCAGCAGGAGGAAATCACAGTTTTTTTGTGTGTGTTTAACTCTATATTCTCCATTTTTGCAGTGGAAATGCATTATGTTTGTAATCATGAAAGAATGCATTTACTGGGTGAAGAGGAAGGTCCCTGACTCAGAAGACAGTATGGGCCCACGCATCTGACCACGTGATTGGTGTCATGTGCTTGACCAGCCGTTTCTCAGCTTTCCCCCTCCACTTGCAGGGCTGCTGAGCACAAGCCCCAGGTGAGGTCATGCTGAAAGCCACAGGCAGCCTCTCATCAGATGGCACATTGACATAAATGCAGTATCACTTCAGGGCTATGAGGCTTCAGAGGAGGGGAAAGGGTGAACTGGAAAATCAAGAGGGGCTTCCTGGAGGAGGTAGGAATCAACTGCATCAGCTACAGCTGGGCAGAACATAGAGAGCATCTTTAGTAAAACATGCACCTGGACTCTAGGGAAGAGCAGAGGAGGGCCCGGGCAGTGTGGCCCCTGCAAGATGAGGCCAGGGGACTGGAGGGCCAGGCTGGGAGAGGGCAGACCCCTTTGCCATGAGCACAGGGGTTGTGCGGCCAGTTCTTAGTGATGTTTCGGACGGTGACCAGTCACGGGACAGCAGGACGTGGTGGTCTTCTGACCTCTGCCACAGGGAACACAGTGGGGCCAGCCCCTGGCCGCACGTGATGGAGTCTTCACAAGTGCCCAGCACCTACTGCCCTGGGCCAGGCTGTCTTTCACGTCAGCTCCTTGGACCAGGAAGCATCTGAGAGGCCCTGCAGCCCCGGCTGAGGAGGCAGGCCGTAAGCAGGCCCAGGTCCCAAGTGTGGGCTCGCTCCACGTGGAGTGGTCTCCAAGGCCAGGCCTGCAGTGCCTGTTTCCTGCGCCCTGAGGACCTGGAGAACAGAGGACGGATGGACACAGCAGCCAGGCGGAGCAGGCCTGAGCCCGGCTCGAGGGAAGCTTGGCTTCTCGTCTGGCATCCCCGTGTTTTACATAATTAGGTAAGTCACTTAATGTCGCTGTGTCTTGTTAGAGAAGCTACTAATCCTTAGAGCTAACAGAACTAACTAATTAGTGTAGAACACTTGGAAAATATAAGAAATTCAGATGTGGAGTGTAATTTCCCGGTCCTCCCGGCATTGCCGCTCACCCAGTGTCCCTGGCAGAGCCTCGGGCCTGGCTGCATCCAGGAGGGATGGGTCTTGGAGGTGGCGCCATAAGAGAGACACGTGTCCTGAAGCCCCAGGGCTGCTGGCCACACACCCTGCCCTGCTTTGCTGGCTGAAGGCCACGTGGGGACAACAAGAAGGGAACTAGCCAGGGGCCTTGCAAACCCGGGACCTTGAGGCAGGGGCAGCCAGGTCCCAGGGAGGGAGGCTATGGGCTCAGAGCCTGTCGGAGCCACAGGGAGGTGCTGAGGTGGCCTCAGGGCTGGAGCTTACCCCTGGGAGTATCCGGGCTTCCACCAACTAGTGGTGGCTAAGGTCAGTGGAGCCGAGTGTGGCCAGTCCCGGGGTTGGCTCTGGGCACTGCCCGTGACTGCCCATGCCTCAGCAAACCTGCTTTGCCCTCCACTTTCTCTTCTCTGAAATGGAGCTAATGACATCACCTCACAGCTCCTCCCAAAAGTAAAGACAGGATTTTGGGGCACCTGGCACCGAGCCTGGCGGATGGCACTCACTGCTGTCTTCCTCCATGAAGGAGAATCACAGGACTTCCTCCACAGCTGGTGAGCCACTCAGGAAGGACATCCAAATACGAGACTCGGCCTCGCTCCTCCGAGCTCCGGCGGTGCCTGCAGCTACCTGTAGGGTGTGCTTTTCCTCTAGTATTATCAGAAATAAGATAGACAATCAAGAGTTCACTTCCCAAGGATGTATGGAGCTGTCGGCAAATCATTAATCTCTCTTTAAACCATGGTGACAATATTTACATTTAAGATCAAGATGATGATTATCTGAAGAACTCCCCTGGAAGCTCTCCTCGCAACTGGAAAAGCGCGGCAGCCGGTTAGCAGAGCCACATCCCGGGCCAGAATAACTGCCTGGTGGTCGGCGGGGCCGGGGGTCTGCAGGGCGTCGGCGTAGGGAGGTGAGCTTTCCGGCAGAGGCTGGGGGCTGCGGTTGGCAGAGCAGATCGAGCCGCTCAGGGCCCAGCGTTTGGGCCCAACCTTGCAGGAATGTGGTTCCGACTAGCTGTAGAAAGGCATTTCTGAAAAGAACTGTTTTAATTTATTTAAAAAAGAATTTGTGGGCCAGGCACAGTGGCTCATGCCTGTGATCCCATCACTTTGGGAGGCTGAGGCAGGTGGATCAACTGAGGTCAGGACTTTGAGACCAGCCTGGCCAACGTGTTGAAACCCCATTACTACTAAAAATACAAAACATTAGCCAGGCATGGTGATGTGCGCCTCTGTTCTCAGCTCCTCAGGGGGCTGAGGTAGGAGAATCATTTAAACCCAGGAGGTGGAGGTTGCCGTGAGCTGAGGTTGCACTACTGCTCTCCAGCTTGGCTTCTGTTTCAAAGAAGGAAAAAAGAAAACAGAATTTGTACTCAAATGGTACAGAAAACAAGTGAGTCACAACAGAAGTGAAAAGCCAGGTAGTGGGGTGCCGGGCACAGCCTGGCCAGGACTTAGTTCCAAGAGGGAAGCTCCGTGCCGTCCAGAACCAGGGAGGCGTCCTCTGGAGCGGCTCATTCAGTCTTTGCCATCCAGCACTGGGGAGGGTCCCCTAGCAGCCGTTCATTTCAGTCTTTCACGCTCTTCCTGCTGCCACCACGCCTGAAGGATCAGCCCAGGACTCCCGGGGGGAGGATCAGTCCTTTCTGAGACTGAACACCTTGGCGCAGTCTCATCAGGCCACCCTCTACATGTTGGTCACTACATCTGGGCACTGGCATCTTTAGCAGGTGTTTTAGGAAACAGGTAACATCACCAACAAAAGCCAACATGTCTACTCTTTATCAGGCACCTCCACATACACCGATACCCCCAACGCTCACAGCATTCTGCCAGATACCACGTCTCCCCCACCCAGGACAGGTAAGTGCTTTGCCCCAAATCACCTCACTTTTCACCCGGAAGTCTAGACTAGAGCCTGAGGCCATCACCCCAACATTGTGCTGATCCCACTAGGGAAAGACGCCCCTTCCTTATTCTAGAGTCAAGCCAAGATCCCCTACAGACACCCGTGCACGCTTAGAGCTCACGCTGGTTAAATGTTCCAAGAAGCTAAAGGGTAATGCCTGTCAAATGCGGGAAAGGAGAGGTGGTCTGCGAGTGTGAGGGCGTTGGATGGTCACTTGGTATCATCCTGTGGAGCTGAAGTTGCACCTGCCGTCTGAGCAGCCATTCCTCTCCCGAGCACGTTCCCCTGGAGAAGCTCTGCACGTGTGCACAGGCACCAGGCTGCAGGTGTGCCATCCACAGCACAGCTGTTGATGAAAAACTGTAATCAACCCAAACATCTCTATGGAGAAAAACGAATAACTGCAGAGAGGCATGTTCACATGATGGACTACTATGCAGCTGTGAAAATGAACAATTAGAGCCGTAAGCTGTAGCATGAAGGAAGCTGAGACGTGTGATGGGCTGTAGGAGATTCCTTGTGGTGGAAGACTAGTTTATAAATCTCATAGAGAAGCCTTAAAGAAAATGTATCCGTTTAAACAAATGCACACACACAATTATACATATACACATATATACGGTAAGCCCTTTAAAAAGGCCAGGAAATGATATAAAAGCAGAAACTGTTCCCTCTGGGCAGAGGTGAGGGTCAGACCATCAGAGCAGCAGGAGGTTGATCTGGTTTTGAATTGGGTTATGTGTGCCCTGGAGTCAAATCATTTTACAGAATATATTTTAGGTATATTTTACATATATTTGCTTTTTTGTGTCAGATATTGCACAAGTTTTTAAAACTGTGAGCAGGTCCTGTGGCCACCGTCCAGGACGGCAGTGTGCCGGTTTCAGGTGATGCTCGGCGCAGAGGGTAACTCAGCAGCGGTGCATGCTGACCTCTCCAGCCAACTCTAGGCAACAGGTTGTTCCTCCCGTCTCAGCAGCTGAGCAGAGCTACAGCTGGCGAAGGATCCAGACTCTGCCAACATTGTGGACATCCCCTCATAGGCCCTGGGATGCCCTGTGCAGAGGCAGAGGGTGACCAGGAGCAGTGGGCAGAGCTCAGGCTCGCCTGTCCCAAGAGGAGCCTCAGGTCCTCGTTGGCAAAGAGTGGATCCAGTAGCTCATGAAGCTCTGCAGCTGCCCCAGGTGCACGCTGTCACTCGGCGAGCCTGCTGCTCTGGTGCAAGCACTGCTTCTGGAATCCACTTCCCTGTGTGCAGGACCAGATGTGTCAGCAGGTGGCAAGAACAAGTCCAGCCCCACCTCACAGGGGCCTTAGCTGTGGGATCCCTATCTGCAGGGCCTGGGTTTTGGGGAACAAGGCTTTGCCCCAAGAGGATTCAGATCTGCAGCAGAGCAGGAGGGGGTGCAGTGTATCAGAGAGACCCCAGCACAGGCTTCGTGCATGGACCTGGTGCAGAGGGCAAAGCTTATGAAGCATCACTTACCCAATGCCCCAAAGAGACCTTCAGGCCCTGGAGGAAATTCTCAGGAGAGCCCGTGGAAGAAGAGGTTCAGTGGAGGGTCACTGCTGCCTGGGAAGGAGCCTCCAGCCCTTCCAAAGGCCACACTTTCTGGCAAACTTCACTTTAAAAGACCAGCCGGTGTGCGATGATTTCTGAGACTGGCGTTTGCTAGAGAGTTTCTCGGAAATGAGTTAAGGCTGGATGCAGTGGCTCACGCTTGTAATCCCAGCACTTTGGGAGGCCGAAGTGGGTGGAACACCTGAGGTCAGGAATTGCAGACCAGCCTGGCAAGCATGATGAAACCCTGCCTCTACAAAAAATACAGAAATCAGCCGGGCGTGGTGGCGGGTGCCTGTAATCCCAGCTACTCAGGAGGCTGAGGCAGGAGAATTGCTGGAATCCAGGAGGTGGAGGTTCCAGTGAGCCAAAATCGTGCCATTGCACTCCAGCCTGATCTACAGAGCAAGACTCCATCTCAAAAAAAAAAAGAGAATAAGTGAACTGGTACCTTCAAGAACAACTGACAGAATTTGTTGTCAATGATAAAAACGTGTGTTCTTGAACAAAAATCAGGACTTTTGAAAAACTGTACTGCCATTATGTGGAGTTTTACAACTTCCTGATACAGTCATCCCTCAGTATTCACAGGGGATTGATCCCAGAATCCCTGGAAGGTACCAGAATCCACAGTTGCTAAATCCCATGTTGCTAAGGCCCGCAGTTCAACCCTATGGAACCCACAGACAGGAAGCTGGCCCTTCCTGTTGTAAGTGTGGGCTCCACCGCCCTCCAATAATGCCTTTTTGATCCCAGGTTGGTTAAGTCCTCGGATGCAGACCCTGTGGGTGTGGAGGGCTGGTTGTCCTTGAAGACTTTTCTACTGGGATAGGTGGTGATACCAGCAAATGCAGTTTTTAAAAATATGTGTCATGCAATGAAATGTGTCAACATTTGGAAGACCTACATGACAGTGAACCCATTTTTCCAAATGACCAGCACATAATGTGACCAAATCACATGCAAGTAAAGACCCTTTTGCAGTGCAGGATGCAGCCAAGGGGCTCCAGGACACACAGGTGCACCGATGCGCCTTCAGACTCCACGCTGAAGCTGGACTGCAAGAAACTCCCACTGGTTAAGGCTGGGTGTAGAATCAAAGAGGAATAGACACCATTTCCCAAAAAGGTACTAAAATACCCCCTTTCCAACTACATGTCCACACATGTGAGGCCAAATGGTTCTCTTCTGCGTCAACCAAAAGGACACGTTGCAGCCATTTGTATGAAGATGGGAACTTGGCCATCCCATATTAAGACAGGTAGTAAGACTTGCATGCATAGAAAACCATGCCACTCTTCCTACTGATTTATTTTGCTGTGGAAAATACAGTTCTTAAAATTATATGTGCTGCTTGTTAATGGTGCTTTGTTATTTTTAACAAACTAAGTTTTTATCAGTTTTGTTTTCTAGTATGCTATCAACAGATGGAAACTACATATCTGTTATGGACCGCCTCAATGTTTGTGAGTATAAAGAGCACGTGTTCTAGAAAGGGCAGTGGCGGACATTCATGCTTAAGAATTTCATACCAAAATTACCTCCAAAGAAAATGATGCTTCACAAAAGAAATCAGCAGCAGGGTAAACAAACAAGCCACGGAATGTGAGAACACATTTCCAAATTATGCATCCAACAAACGACTAGTATCCAGAATCTACAAGCAATTCCAACAAATCACCAAGAGAAAAACAATCTGATTTAAAAGTGGGCAAAGGACATGAATAGACATTTCTCAAATGAAGATATACAAATGGCCAAAAAAACATGAAAAAATGCTCAACTTCACTAATCATCAGAGAAATGCACATTAAAACCACAGCAAGATACCACCTGGCCCCTGCAAGAATGGTCATTATTTAAAAGTTAAAAAAAAAAATTAAAAAGATGTTGACATGGAGAGAAAGGGGACTGCTTATGCACTGCCTCTGGGAAGGTAGATTAGTACAGCCGCTATGGAAAACAGTGTGGAGATTCCCTGAAGAACTAAAAGTAGATCTACCGTTTGATGCAGCAGTCCCACTACTGGGTATCTACCCAAAGGAAAAGAAGTCATATGAAAAAGACACATGCACACATATGATTATAGCAGCGCAGTTCACAATTGCAAAGATGTGGAACCGACCTGAGTGCCCATTGACCAATAAGTGGATAAAGAAAATGTGGCACATCTACACCATGGAATACTACTGAGCCGTTAACAGGAATGATGTAATGTCATTTGCAGCAACTCGGATGGAGCTGGAAGCCATTATTCTAAGCAAAGTGACACAGGAGTGGAAAACTAAAAACCATACATTCTCACTTATAAGTGGGAGCTAAGCTCTGAATACGCAAAGGCATACAGAGTGATATAATGGACTTCAGAGACTCAGAAGGGGCAGGGGAGATGGGGGCTGGGGTTAAAAAAATGACACATTAGGTACAATGTGTAGCACTCAAGTGATGGGTGCACTAAGAACTCAGAATTCACCACTCTGTCATTCATCCATGAAACCAAAACCCTTTTGTACCCCAAAAGCTATTGAAATTCAAAAAAAAATTTTTTTAATTAAACGATGCTACACGTTTACTCATGGGAGCTTCTTTCTGAGCCACAGTGAAATGCCACAAGCATGCCCTCTCCCAAGTGAACCTTCTGTGAACGTGGCATTTGTAGGCAGCATCCCAGAGTAGGGGTGGTGCTCAATTTATTAGTAAGCTTTATTTGGTAAGTCAGAGATGGATCATTTCCAAACCAGCTTATCCTTTTCCATAAAAATTAAAACGCCACCACCGAAAAGGAAGGAGATTTTTTTGAAGAAAGAACTTGGGCTGCAGGCTGGGGGAGCTGTCAGCATCGTTCATCCTGATGTTCCCTGGGCTGGGGGGAGGAACTGGCAGCTGTTCACCAGCGATTCCATCTTTTTCGTTGTGTGTTTCATAAGTGGTTTTTAACCAGACGCCCTTAAAATGTATTATTGTTAGAAAATAAACCAAGAAACAAGGGAGAGTAATTTAGTACTAGGAAGTTAATTCTGGAGACCTCTGACCTTTCAGCAGTCATGTGGCTATTGATTTTCAATACCGTGAGGTGGCAGCCACCCTAGGCGTGGGGTTCAGTGGATTCCAAACACTTTCTCCCTTATCAGTTGAGTCCCTGAGTACTTGAGCATTAAGACAACAAATGTCCGGAGTTAACGGCGTGTCACATGGCAGCTGGGTGGACGTGCCAATTTTCTAATGAAGTTGGGTTGTTGGCAAACACACCAGTCAACATATATTGAAGACGGTCTTCTTTTGTGTATTTCCAGCACTCTTGAGTGCTTCGAAAGATACCAGTTACATCATTGTGTGAGGGCCAGGCACCGAGGGAGAAACATCCATCCCCTGCCAAGACAAACACAAGCAAAAGCAGAGTTAACACCAAAATGGGGCTGGGTTTTCCAGGAGGTGTTGGAGGCATTTTTTCCAGTTGTGCTTAATGGAGGAGTATTCGGAAGGAAAGCAGCCCTGAGCCCTTGTGTCTCTGCAAGAAGAGGCACCGGGGTTATTCCTCACCCCCTACTTAGACTGCACTCTCTGTGGGAGAATTAGTATTATTTTTCTTCACATTGAAGAAGAACAGTCAATGCATTTGGGTCCAAACCCCTGTGTAGTGGAGGGATCCCACAGGCTCTCAGAGCTGACCACATCCATACCTTTGCAAACTCTGCGAGATCCTCACCGACCCTACCCTCTCCCTCCACTCCCCACCAATAATAAATTATGGTTGCCATCTTGTATTGATTATTGAAAATGTTATGTCCATGGGAAGAAAATGCCATTGCTTTAAATATCAACATTACAAGAGATTTAAAAGTTTTTTTTTTTTTTTTTTTTTTTTACAGAAATGCGTGTGATAAAAATGTTTAAGCAATTGAAAGGAGCGTGGGTGTGGTGGGCAGAATTATTAAATACCAACAGCAACAACAAATCCTCGGGTCGGCCTGGCCAGACGAGCGTTTCTCAGCTCAGGTAAGTCGTTTAAAGTCAGACACGTCTCATACTGGACTTTTTACAGGAATGGCGAAATTTATAATGAAATTCAACAAGGAAACTGGAAAAACAGCCAAATTGGTGCAGCAAAGTGGTTAATAGGATCATTAGCCTACTCGCTGTATTTTTTTGGACACTGTGTGCCTGTACCGCAGCACTAGAGAGCAGATTGCAAGAACAGGCTGACAGTTAGGAGCTAGCTCAGCAGTGCTGGGTACAAACTGCCATCTTCCTGTGGATTTACAGCTGCCACTTCTGCCACTTCAATTAGTTCTATGGCACACAGATGTTGCTTAAATGTTGCTGCTAATGATACTGCAATAAGCCTAAGATTCATGCCATATTCTGAGGCACGTAAATTTCTCAAGTGGCACAATTAAAGTGGAAATATTAGGTGGTGAGAACTTGGCAGTCTCTCCAACTTGGAAGGCGCACCCGCTATGCAATAATGGGTCAAAAATTCATTCAAGTTTTACTGCTGTTCCGAGTTTTAAAAGACTTTTCACAGTTGAATGCAAAGTAGTAAAAACCAGGGTATTAGGAAATGAGAATGCAGTTCTGTTATTCAGACATGACTTTTAATTTCAAATTGAAATCACATGCTCCCTTTTCTGGATATGACCGAAGGGAAAAGGTACAGGCTGAAGAGATTTTGTCTTTAAGGGTAAAAGTCCTGAGTGGAAATGAATTTATGGCCAGGCCAGCCTCAAAATCAGCGCTGCCTGAGACTAAGGAAGTGTGGCGATCACCTCCCATGCAGAGAAGCAGCCCTGTTCATGCCAGAGGCCAAGTTCATGAGCAGCTCTCTCTCCATCCACCCCCAGACAAGGTCCCAAACCAGGCATGGGGAAGTGTGCTGGAACAGGCACACGGGTGCACACACTGTGTGTCCCTCTGAAACAACACATGCACACTCACACACACACGCCTGGCTCTGCCTCTTACACACACATGCACACACACTTGGTCTCAGCCTGTTACACATTCACACACACACACGCTCCATCTCTCCCTCCGACACATGCACGCACACACACGTATGCACAGCCTCTGCCTCTTACACAGGTACAGAAAAAGACAAGTGCGCTTCCAGGAGCCTCACTTCTGCCTGCGCGGAGTCTCCATTAGAATTTCTCTCCTTCATTTGTCATCCCAGGCACAGTCCCCTGCCTGTCGCCAAATTTTCTTTTCCATGAAAAATCTATCCTTCGGAGAAGAGCTTCTCCCTGACTGGTTGTCAAATCCGCTTTTGATTTCCTCACACACCGACTTGAAAGGCAGGCGGTCCAGGGCCAAGCGGCGCCCAGTAGGCCTTTCTGCTTCTCCAGTCTGACGGTGTGGGTTGGTCCCCTACCCCCACCCCATTTTAACTTATTGATTTGAACTGTCAAGTAAATGACTCCATTGCACTTAATCAGAATCACAGACTTCTGCCATCCCAATTAGAATTCGAGGCCATGCACCGGAGCTGCACATGTGCGGCTCTGCTGGAGGGCTGGGCACAGCCCTTGCACCTAGGGCTGGCTCTCTGGTGCAATGCTCTGCAGGATGAATCCTGCCCCATGAGCAAAGGCTATCTGCAGTGGGCATCCAGGCTGATGCTGTACTGTAGGTATTTGCCAAATATTTATTTTCCCCTGAAATGATGCAAACAATTCAGTGAAGCCTTCCCCAGACAAATTCAGGATGCGGAACGATTGAGCATTCAGTAAATTTCTCAATACCTTTCTGCCTCCCTCTCCCCTCTCTCCTTCTCCCCACCTCACTCCCTCCCTCTTCCTTCCTCTTTTCCTTCCCTCCTCCTCTCTTTTTTACCCTCTCCTGCCCCTCACCCGGTACCTATGCCACTTGGATTATTTACAGCAAATCTTACAGATGTCAGTATTGTCTTGTTCTGAAGCCGAAAAGGACAATGAGTTCCCGCTGACCTCGGAACAATGGATCTCGCTGGAGCACAATATGTATTTTATACGGGCAGTGAAAAGCCTACAAGTAATTGAGAGAGAGAGAGAAATGTCACTGTAGCATTTCTGTTGACACTGCACTCTGCGCGTGGAGGGAAGCCCGGGCCCAGCGACAGAGGGGAGCAGCCGCGGCCGCGCTGTGCACCCAGGACCCTGTCCTTCAGGAAGGAGGTGGCAGGAGAAATTCATCTGCTCAGATTTTCCCACTAATGAAATATTCCCGGGATCGAAGGGGCCACATGGAGGCGTCTGCGGCGCAGCTTCCCATTTGCACAGGTGCACCCGGACTCCGGGCCCAGCGCTAACGTGGATGTGTTTCCAGCTCTGTTTACTGTCTTCCATAATGCTTAATGTACTGTTTGTATATGTTGTCCTTGCACTATATTTTGATGTGCTCTCATATATTTTATTCATCTCTGGCTTTCTAGGAAGGCAAGCTCACAGCAACACTGAGAATAATTATTTGCCACCATCAATCAAGTGTCCACGTGGTTGTCTCCTCGTGGGATGGCCTTGATTTTAAGAATGAAATGTAACTCTTGCTCTTTGGGGCCATTTCATTCTTTGTTCCTGGGGTCTGCCTGTAGGCTCATCGGGACACTGGAGAGCAGGCATTCCCATGGCCGCAGCAGAGCCGTGGTCCTGGCCAGCCATCGCTGGAGCCTCCAGAAGGAAGTGGCTAGGAGCTCTTTAGCCCTACTTGGGGTTTAAATTGAAAAAGGAGCAGCTTATGATGCTGGAAATTGCAAGCAGAGGCTGCATGAGTTCAGTAACTTGCACACGGCCTCCATTCAGAGCCACAGTGAGCATGTGAAGGACCCTGGGCTGGGGGCCCAGCACTGACATCAACCATGCAACCTCCCAACCTGCTCTGGGAGATGGTGCAGACCAGGGAAGGGGCCAATGTGCCAGGGGACGAGGCTCCAGTGCTTTCCTGGGCACCAATGCCAAGTCCTCCCTGAGCACAAGGACCTTCCTCGGGTGACTGCAGAAGCAAGGAGGCCTGGCCCACCCTCCCTGCTGGCTTCCTACTGCCCACCACATCTTAGTTGCTGTACCCAAAAGTCTGCAGACTCCTAAGTGCAGTATTTGGGCTGTCTTGTTTGCAGTGGATGTTTGAAAGACAGACAGACCAAGAGACCCTTTTCTCTAGTGCTGGCCTTGGGTCCCCGGAGAGCTGCTGTTTCCTGGGTTTCCAGCTCTGTGGAGGCAGAAAGAGACCCCAGGGTGGCCTTTGGAGGAAGGCGAGCCCCCTGGGTTAACTGAGCTTCTGGGACGGTGCTCCTGGGCTCAGCACTGTCACCACTGGTCAGAGCCAGAGCGTGTCTGCCAGTGCTCTGCTGAACACAGTGGCGTTGTTTCCAAGCTCAGGTGAAGGGGACATGGAGGTTAAGCAGGGCTGGAAAGACAGAGACGTCCTCTTCCCCTGGTAGCAGGTATTTAGCAGATGGGAAAATATTAGCAGATGGGAAATCAGCAGATACACTCAGCTCAAGATGCAAATTTAAAAGCCGCCAGCCCCCTGTACTAAATATTTACACTGAACATCTCTACTCCATCATCCGTCTTTTATTTTTGATGAGCCCATATGACTGCTCTTATTACAAAGTCATATAAAAGTTGAGAAAAGAAAATTTCACCCTTGAAAGCAAATTCATGATGAATTAAATTTCAGCATGAAAATAGGGGGAAAAAATTCAAATTTCTGTTGACTTTTGGGCTTGTATCCTGAAAGAGTTAACATACATTCTTTCCTACTTATTAGCATAAGTTAAATGGCACACCCCCAAAAATTGTTTTCTTTCCCTCCTAAGTAGCTGATATTAAAACCTCTATTGTTGAACAGTTTTTAAAAATGCAATTCTAATCCCTTTGTAATAGTTTTCAATACCAAAAAAAGTCACATCTGAGCCCCAGAAAGCCCCCTCTTCACAGGCCACAGGGCCAGATCCACCACATGGTTTTCGTGGACAGAGCCTTTCTCTCCACATTCCAATCCGAACTGCCGCCTCCATCCGCACAGAACCTCAGCAGCACTTTGATGTGCTTCCTCGCTTAGTCCTCCAGAAGCCTGTGAGGCCAGGCCTGTTACATCCACTTTACAACAGGGAAACCGAGGCTGGGATAGAAAACTCGCCCAAGCCTATAGACCTTGTCATGGCAAGGGCTTGAATCCGGCTTTTTGACTCCATGTCTCTCGTGCTCTCAGCCGTATCCAGGGATTGAACTGGGTGCTTTCAAAGGGACTCTCGATCTATGAAATTCAACAACTGCCATTTTATACGCCAGTGGATTCACTTGTTCCTCCAACAGGCCCTTGCGAGTCTGCCATGGACCAGGCACTGTTCTGGGGTCTGGGGATGTAGCCGTGAAGCCCTGCCCCAGTGGGGTTTGCCTTCTAGTGGAGAAGATAATGAAGGAGAAATGCCGTAATCACATTTCACTTCATGGCTCTGCTATGAAGGCAGTGCAGTCAGTGGGCTTTGGGTCAGACTGGGAAGTGCCTCGTAATCTACTAGCTTGCACCTTTGAAGATGGGATCGAGATTTAGAAACAGAAGGAAGGCCAAGCACAGATGACAAAATCTGCCCTTCTCCAGAGGTGCCCTTGATCCCCAGAATCAATGGCCCCTGCCCGCCATCCAAGGGCTTGACTGCCTGCATGGACTTGGCCACCCCAATTCAAACTCAGTGTACTCAGTGACATTGCCCTGGTGATTTTTTTTCAACACTCAGAAATTGGATGAGAGCACAGAACTTGCCCACGGTGTCACCACAGAAAAACTATGCTGCTGCGTGAGGAAGTTACCCAAGTTACAGGCCCTGATTAATTTCACTCTGCTACTTACATTAGAGTGTGGTTACCTTAGCAACTGCAGAGTGGTTTGCCGTGGTGTCTGTGTTCAACCGCCTGAGCTTTGAAAGCCCACAGTGTGGGATGTCGGGAGGGCAGGCACATCTGGCCTGGAAGATGGTGGTGATCCCTTGGGCTTCTCCAGCTTGTCAGGTTCTTGGT